TTGATTCGATGCGCCTTACAGAGAACCCGATACTTGATTCCTCGTACCTTGTTGTAACCCGACCAATTGCTCTTGCAACTGATCTTGCGATTCCTTATTAAATTGCTCTATTTCTTCCATTTGTTTTTCCATGATGATGAAGTAGTATGAATGAATGCTCTTGTTATTACTGTCATATAATCTTCCATAAGTTATTTCCATGTTTTCATAATTAATGCATATAAAATGCTTAAATAAATATATGCAATGCAAATGCAAATGCTAAATGCAATTACAAAAGGTGTCATTCCAGAGTGACCATCTTTAAAACAACTTTCATTGAGCACAAAGGTCTCGGTACATCAAACAAACTTTACAAATAAGGAATGACTTTCACTCCTAACTTTTCTATCTCATTCAAAAGCCAAAGTAACTTCCACTCATGTTCGGGGGTTGAGTTGTCAATCTGCTTCAATTCTCTTGCAAAGCCAGCTAAATCAACCCATTTGTGAGCCACATCGCTTGCTTGGGTCATAACTTCTCTCGGAGTTGCAAACACTGCTGTTGATTTTTCATTGTAAAAAAAGCATTGTGGTTATGGAAATTCCTTCATAAGACCACTACAGTTATCCACCATCTTCATCAACTTCTTGTTCTTGGCTCTAGTGACTTCTAGCTCAGCGTTAGTCTCCCACTTATGGCATTGATATGAAATTTCCATATTGGAAATAGACCCGTTCAACGTCTGATTTTCAACTTGATATCTACCCAAATCATTGATAGTTGTATCGTGCATTTTCTCTGCAATCTGTTGATCATGATAAAACTTCTCGGCTTAACCTTCGTGCATCTTGCAATTGTTTTTCCACTGTTCAGCGTCATTTTCAGTTTAGCGACCCCTGCTATCCTACTATCCACTCCTCTGGGACATTTCCTATACCAACAAATTTAAAAGCTTGACCGATCCTTTGGAAATCATCCTGCATGGTTTCCATCTCTCTACTCAATTTATCATTTTCACTTCCTAGATGACGAATCTGAGTTTCATACTTTGGTAAACAATTTTCCTCCTGGATATTCTCACTGATACCCTTACCTTTGGTCTCTTTTGGTTTAAACTTAACATGATAATCTGTTACCAAACTATGTTGATCTTTTAATTCGAACTCCAATACTCCATGAGCTAGAAGATGTTGAACTCGACGCTTGAAGGTAGAGCAATTCTGGATAGAATGTCCTTGAACTCCAGCATGATAATCACAACGAACGTTGACGTCATACCAACATGGATATGGAGGCTGCAAAGGTTTCACATAATGTGGGGCTACTTCTCAGGCTTCTAACAGTTCATCATACAACTCCTTAGATGATATTGGGATAAAATCAAAATGAGAGCCACCTCTCGACTTGGATTGAACTGGAGCTTCAAGCTTTACTTCCTCTGATGTTGGGAGTAGACTATCACACACCAACGAGTTCTGATTGCACGATTTCTTTTCATTATTCTGAACTTCTAGAGTTGTCATTATTTCCCTGTCATTTCCAAACAGCTTGTTGATACGAACAATGATTGTGCGTGGCTTCCCATATTGGCTAGAATCAGCAGGCTCTAAGGTAGTCTCTTGCATATTTGACACCTCAAGATTGTTCTTATTGAGCTCTCTCTTTTCTTTTGTAGAGGTCTCTCTTCCTCTGGCCAAAGTATCTATTTTATCCATCATATTTGACATCTGCTCTTTCAATTCTCTTATCTAATTTTGCTCATTGTCAGCCATGTGATCTTCAGGTGCAGATCTTGCCACTATTCTCGAAGCTTTCTCAGGATGCCATTTTTCAGTTGTATTATAGCCTGCTCGATCACAAAACCCCTTGTCCATCATGAAAACCTTCTATTCTGATGACCACTCACAAATCAACACCTTTTGATTATGTCATGATCATGCAATGCAGACAAGGAGAAAAAACCACATAAAAACGAGTTAGTACAAATAAGATAACAAAATGACAAAAAGCAATAATAACAAAATAAATAAATTAATAAGCTAATGCAAAAATAATAATGCAAATGCAAAAGAAAATGTAAATGCAAATGCAAATGCACGAGGTGTTAATCCCAAAAGTGACCACTTATAGAACAACCTTTCATTTAGACAACAAGAATTCAGTAAGTACACCATGTAGTCAAAATACAATTGTGATTCTTCATCTCTTCATTTCCTTGAGTCGTACTCTTCATGGAATCTAGTATTGCACCTCCAAAATTTTCGGTGTATTTGATCACCTTTGATGACGTCGGATGTCCTTAAATTGAATTTTGAAATCTCTATTCTTATCTCCAATGCGAAGTGGTCTTCATGCCTTTATGAAGGGTCTTCATGTCTTTATGAATGGTTTTCTCGTCTTTATGAATGGTCTTCTCGTCTTTATGAATGGTCTTCTCATCTTTATGAATGGTCTTCTCGTCCTTGGTAGGGCTATATATATCTTCTGAGTCAACATCTTGGCCTTTGCACCTTTAAAGGAATTCTCCAATCAGCTTCAGATCTCTTCATTCATCGGGTGCCCTTCTTCATGGATCGTTTGAACATATCTGGATCTCCCGTTTTGACTACATGGTGGAGAATTTCTTGCCTCAATATGGTCAGCCTTCTTGTTAGCCAATCACTTGCAAATTAACACCCCTCGATGACATGAGGATGCAAATGCAATAAATCCAAAATAAAATAGACATGAAACAAAAAATGGGTTAGTACTCATAAGATAAACAACAAGATAATAAGTATAAAAAAACATCAAATAAAACCTACCCTCACATACCGACTACCCAATCAAGCTTTGGTAGATCCTACCCAACATGATATCTACCCACATGCTTTGTTATTCACAGAAAATCCTAATCGCATGATATCTAGTTCACAGGCTTCGTACGAAAATATAAAACTTAACCGCACGCTTTTCTAGTTCACATACATCTTACAAAAATAAATAAATTCGAGGAAAATGTTAGAATGAGTTTCCATTTATGTCTGCGGACAGAGATTCAACATAAGACGGGTAGAGTTTTGGTAACACTAGCAGGGTCCTCGAATTGTCCTTTGCTGGTGCCCCCTTGAGCTTGTCAGACCCTCGACCCTCACCCATTATAGGCTTAAACGGGCCAAGTTCAATTCAAGAGGATACATTTCCCTATGTCCATGCGAGGAAACTCAATGTTTCGCTCGTAAACATAAGGCATGTACCCCAGAGGTTACTTGCTAAAGCCCATGCGGAGAAAAATAATTTTTCTCACGTAAGCGTAGCGTTCACCCCTACCTAACGGGACAAAGCACAGTAAGAAGGCTCTAAATATCGAAAGGTTGTAACAACAGTAAGGGGAAACTCATAATCCTTTACCTCGATCCAAGAAAAACAATAGACTGAGGTCAGAAAACTGAAACACGCAAATCACACGTTAGTACAACTATTTTATCTGTTAATCAAATCACAAATTAAAATACAAACAAACAAGGGATCAAAAACCAAATTAGAACAAACTTATAAATTTCGTTTGCAAAGACAATTAATTAATCGATTATCGGCTTGACCCTCTAAAAAAGTCATCAGCAGAGTCGCCAAGCTGTCGAAATGATTTTTTAAGTGGGGGTGCGAGATTTTGAAAACCACGCCATTTTTTAATTATTCTCTTTACGATTAAATTTTAATTAAAAACAATGCGATTTTAAAAAATCTTTCGTTTCGAAAATTTGGGATTTCCTTTACTATAAAAAAATGTATGTTCAAAGAGTCGCCACCAATATTTGATTAGGGTGTGATTGGGCACCCACAAATATTTTGCCATTTTAAATAAAAAATAATTTTAATTAAAACGACAAATTTACGGTCTACGTTACCAAAATCCAGGTTCGGGAGTCGGTTACGCGTGGGGAAGTATTAGCACCCCCACAACGCCCTAAATCGAGACCTAGTCGATTAATTAATGTCTTTGCAACGAATTTCACAAGTTCAACTTTAATTTAATTTTTGATCCCTTAAAACAACAAAGGTGCAAATTTTATAACATTCAAAAGCCACGAAATAGGTTAAATTAAAATTACCAAGCCATTAGAAAGATAAAGAATATTCGATTATTTAAAAAAAATATTGAGACCAGATCTTTAGGTCAGTTCTAACGACATTTTCTAAACAAATTTAAATAGCCGAACATTTCTTTTTTCTTTCACTCTCAAATTTTAAAGTGAAGAATCAAATTTTTGGTGACACTGATGAGATACACTTGTAATTTAAAATCGTCGAAGACAACTTTCCAGTAAGTTAAGAAAAACCATTACGACAATTTTAAATTAAAAGGGTATTACCCTTAATATGATTATGTGATAGGTCGAGTTGTGCAAATGAGGTTAACATACAAAAATTGATTAAAGAGATGCTTATTTAATAAATAAATAATATATGAAAAATTAACATGCAATAATATTACCTATTTATATATATTAATATGTAACATACTAATACGACTTAAATACAAAAAATAAAAACATAACATATCAAATTATGAGAAAACTGTACATATTAAACTAATGACTAAATCACATTAAACAAAATTTTAATATCTAAAATACGAACAAAATAATAATTGAAATGTACATATGAATAATACACATAATAAACAATCAAACCAAAATAAAACAAATCATCACCATGAAGGACTAAAACTATAATAAACCTTGAATATACATAGGACAAAAAAGAAACATGGAAAAATGTAAAGGTCAAATGTCTAAAACTGCAAAAATTAAATACACTAACACTTGGGACCAAAATTAAATTCACGAAAAAACATATATAAAATTATAAATATACAAACTTCGAACTAGGGACTAAAATGCATAGACCGTAAATCTGAATGGCTCATCCAATAGATAACCCATACACTAGAAAACAAAATACCCTTAACCATATACGATGACGTTTTATACAAATTAACTAAAGACTAAAAATTTAAACTAAAAACAAAACATCACTCCTGCCAAACCTAATTCTTTCTCCCCTCTATGCGCCGTTCTTCTTCCTTCTTTCCCTTATCTTCTTCTTTGGTGGCCGAGACCTTCTTCTTCACCATTTAACGTCGTCGGCTGGCCTCCATGCCTTGGTGGCCACCTTCACCCCGACAACCGCCTAGCCCGACCTAAAACAACCACCCCGATCGGACTAAAATATCTTTCCATCTTTAACTCTTTTCTACTCGACCAAGGCCCCGAAGACCAAACCCATGGTCTTCCTTTTTCTTTATCTCTGTGATAACTCAAACTAGCATCAATGGTCATCAAGACTACTGAACATGGCCGGTGAAACCCCCCAAACAGCCTAGAATAACCTGGACTTCACTATTTCCATTCCTAAGCTTGCTCATCCCTTCGACCGAACCTAAAACCAAGCTTCCAAACTCGCCTAACTCTTCACCTTTACACTTTCCAACGACCTTATAAGACCTCGATTCCGACAACCCCGATGACCATCTCTCAAGGCTAAGGTAAACTACTATTTTCTCCATCTCTATGCTTTTCATTTAGAATCAAAAGAGAAGAAACAATAAAAAGTTACTGGAAAATAAACTAAAAAACTAAGAATTTACATTGGTATTGCTTTACAAAAAGAACGAAAAGGATTAAGCCCTTTATTTAATATTTCTTTTCTCTGAATCTCAATTGCTTGGTTGATCCAATATCTGAATTTTTATGCCTTGAATTCCAGCAGCTAAACCGGCATGCAAACTGTCGTTCATCGGTGACAGTAACCTCACCAAAGCGTGGTAAGTTCCCGTTAAGGAACCCGAACGTCTATGGTAAAAAACCCCAAATCCTCTTTGTTTTATTATTATTTTTATATCAACCTATTTATTTTGCTTATGACCGAACATGTGTTGATTTCTTTGAGTTAATTTCTGGAATATGAAAATGGTTACAGACATAAAGAACATATTGTTCTACTGTTGATTTGGGTTCGAAATAAAAAAAAATAAAGTAACATATATTGGAAATTGAAAACGAAACTATGATTACCTCAAAAATACTTTCATTGCTTTCGAATAGAGAGATGGAATATTTCCCCTGTTTACAGTTGTTTTCTTCGAGAAAAATAACCCCCTCTTTTTGTTACCAGTATTTCGAATAGGATTTCCCCCCTTTTTTTCATTCTCCCTCCCTAATTTATTTCTTCTTCCTCACCGAATCTCCTTGGTCGTTACATGCTAATTTCTTTCTGTTTGGTGAGATTTTGATTGGAGGTGAAATCATGTGGAATCTATTTTTGACTTTGTTGGATGATTTGTGCAGCTTCAATGGTGGCATGATTGGCGGCATCTTATTCACGCAGATGGGAACAGCTCTTGGGTTTAAACCAAGTTACTTATAATTATTTTAGGTTGTTGGATTTTTGTTAGGCTTCATTTATTGGGTCTGAATCTTGAGCTTGCAATTAATTTGGTTTGTAATTGGGCTTCAAAGATGTAAATGGACTTTAGACACTTAAATTTGTATTTGGGATTGAATTTTAATTTGTGTCTCGATTTCCAAAATGAATATATACGATTTTAGTCCAATTAAGCCCCTCAAGCTTTCAAACACAAACTTTCATGATTTATCATTTGAATTAATTTCTCATCAAGCACCAACATCTCCAAATTAATTTCTGATCATCTTCAAGTGAATTTAAATGGTCCAGATAAAATTAGAGTATTACAACACTACACAGTTCCATTTATCAACCGAACTACAGAAAATGATGGTCATCTATAAGTGGCTCATTAGGCGTGAAGTCGATAATGGTGAAACTACATGTTAAAGTAATCTGTAAGTGGCTCTCTCTCTCTCTCTCTTTCTTTTCCTATGAAAGAAGTCAATATTCATGAGATCAGTGATCACATTCATACACCAAAAGGTGAGAACAAGAGAATGTGGTTTTTGGACCAAAACACATGCATTGACTGTCTTTTTACATCACCATGTCTTTACGAGCTAGAAAAAGATTTTGGCCGAAGGGCATATTCATAAACTTTATTCGAATGCGGAATGCCTATGTGCAAACTCAACTCTGTTTTTTTTTTTTAGCTGGCATTGTCTGGATCTATTTGCGAAAACTCTAAATTTGATGCATTTTTACAATGAGTGCAACATACACTATAATCACACAACAAAATAAAGAAAGAAATGAATGGATCTAAAATGTAGGCAATAATATCAAGAGTTATTAGGAGCTCTCACCCCCAGCCTCGACGGTTGAGGCATAGATTAGTATCCGATCATGATCTCCCGGTTGACCTATCCTGCATCAGGAAGAAAGCCTTTTGCTTAGGGAGGGGGGGGGGGAAGGCATATGCAACTTAATTCTCAATGGAAATATTAACCACATTCGAAATATATATACCAATTCATGCTTCTTCCGGAAACGGATTCCCGTTACTGCAACATCAACTGCTTTTAGTGATGTTTAATCTTGTTTCCTTACCTTATTCCTAGGATCTTGTCGACAATTCCTCCTCTCACATTACATCATCATTAAATAATAACTATCTGCAGCCAGTGTTACTTTAACAAGTGATTGACTACTTACCTGATCCAACTAAGGGATTCGTTCCGACATCAGTAGTCGATAACCACTGCTTCAACTTCCTCATTTTCAATTTCAGCACTGGTATAGGTGAGAGCACGCTGTAGTTTCTTCGGACAAAATATCTCAACCTCTGCCATATATGTGGCGGTAACAGGGCGATGATCAGAAAATGTAAGCTCGCTCCTCCTATAACTCATTTGCCTCAATCCTTTACCGTATTTAAGGATGCGGTCACACCTGAAAGAAGAGGTGCGTTAGGAAAAAATCACAAGACAAACAAACAGCAAAAGGATGGATCATAAATCTTATAAGCTACTTTAAGCATACCATGCAGGAATTCGTCTTCCGACCTTGGGATCTTCCCCGTAGTATTTCTCAGAATTTAACTCATATTTGTATGTCGGTGCAAAATTTAAAGCACCCTCAGACCATCCATCAAATGTATGACCAATTCGCAGCTCTCGTACAAGCTGACATGATAAGATAACGTATTCAATAACTACGCTAGCATCCTATCAACTGCCTTCGAGTTTATAATTGATAAGAAAAACTGCAATGGCCTAGACTTTGTGTAGGACTAAACTACCTGGTCTCTCGCAGTCAGCTCAGACCACTCCCTCTTGGCGATGAGTTCTCGTGCTTTATCATATGAGAGGTTGAGACGGTAATTTAAATCACCCAACCAAATTATTCTTCTGTTGAAAAAAATATCTCTGTTATATAATTATATAAATTACAGCTGAGTAATACAGGTGAACATATCCGAACAACACTTTTCTCATTCCCGAGCATGCATAATCTAAATACATAGACACAAAATAAGCTTAAAATACATCTTTCCCCGAAGATACTGTAGTGCTGATATAAGGGGAACAAATCAAATTATCAAACATGTTCCAAATGTATTATTCAACAGCATACAACAGCTACGATGATAGATGAATAAATAACCACAGATTCAGACCGCAAGTAGATATAAAAGTATACTCACTCATGATCCTGAATTCTTTTGGGAAGTCCAATTGCAGAACGAGAATGAAAATGAGTTCGCCTAAGTATTTCATGCACATCAGAGTTTCTTTTATGTTCATCTCCATCTTTTTCACCTGATGTCAGGTGAGTGCATATAAAACAAAAAAGTGTTTGATACATGGACATGCTGACTGATACTGATCCCTGGAAAAAATAAAATGAATAACAATATTATCAACAGCTTGAAGTTTTGACAAAAAATTGTAGTAGCATGGTTCCGATAAATTGCTTAAAAAAATTGTCCTGTATACCCGTTGTAGCATTATCTCATCCCTCATTAAGGCCCTAACAGTGAGTGGCCCTGGGACGGTGGGGATTTATTCTCAATGCACTGACACCTTACTGAATATGGCCCTATAGGGACTCTATAAAATTATCTATAAAGGGGACCTGATCTTCCTTAAATATTTGTTAGCTTACTAAATCCCTCCTGTTTGCCTCTGCTGGTTAGATTATTTAACATCTGAAAAGAATGCCATCACTCTTGCCAAAGTGTACAATCTAAATACTGCATGAACTACAGCAGCACAATATACAAACTATATTACTCCACAAAGTGCTAATGCGACCCAAGAAAAAAGCAAACAGTCAATTTAAGGAAAAAAAATCAAGAATCTAACATTACTAGAAGGGAACGGACCTTATTACCAATGTAGCCCATTACACCAACACCAACAGTAGACACCTTCAAGTTCTGAATATGCCTGCGCAAACTCTTACGGACCCATATAGTGAGGAAGATTCCTACCATCTGCTTGCTAACTATTTTTACATATGATGATCTTCTTTTCCGCTTCATGAGGGATTCCAGGTCAAGTTCTGCAAGCAAAGCTATCCCTGGTGGCATGTCATTTATGGACTTGAAGGAACTATATGTTCGAAAAGACTTGGTTGTTGTGAATGTTTTGATCGATTTGAAAGAAGTTGGTCTCTCTAAAACATGCTGAGATAGCAGGTCTAGTGGAGGCTCTGGCCAGCTTAAACCAATCCTTTCAGTACCACTAAGGATTCTGGTTAGTTTTCTATTTTGTTCAATTCCACTAAGCATTTTAGTAAATTTTGCATTTTGTTGACTGACTGAGGCTTCCTCATTTTCAGCATAATCCTCTGTCCGCAAGCAGTTAAGTCTGTCTAATCTCTTTGGGGAAGAAAATTGCCTTTGTAAATCCTGTTCTACAGCTAGTGGCACGTCAAGTTCAGAACCATCATAATACTCTGAAACCCCAGAATCGAGGAACCCCATTTTGTTTTCGGCTGCAATATTAAATTCATCAAAGCCATGGGGTTCTTCATCCAATGGATAAATTTCTTCACCAATATCACCATCACTTTCAAGACATATCTCCTCTTCTAAAGTTGGGAGATCATCAAATGGCTCAAACTTTGATGGAGATGGGGGATCACTGTAGCATTTTACTCTGGTAGTTGCAGGTCGAACTCTGTTGAGCGTTTCACGGATGATGTTCTCCCACTTTGGAACTGGGCGGCTATCTTCAGCACCGAATATATTCCCAGCATTTAATGGTACTATCTCCTGAAGACTGTAAACATATAGGAATTATCATATTTTGAGATGAACATGTATAGCAGAAAATCGAATTCAGGAATAATTGCTAAAAGCAAGATGACCATATTTTGAGTCAACATGTATGTTACAGGTGTTTTAAGCTTAAGATGATACAAAAAATATGGAAGTGACCAAAAAACTTTCCATGAAAACATTGCCTGTGATTACAGTAAGACGGGAGGAAAACTAGAATCAAAATGTACAACCAGAAAATGAAGAAATTTTACATGTCAGGAAAATACTTACCCAAACACATAGATGTCAGCAGGGTCATTCATATCTATCCACTCATCAATATCTAGGTCATTAGGTGGAACCTTACCACCAACATTCCAGGTACCAACGCATATTCTGTTAATTGGAGAGGACAAAATACAAGGTTTCAGCAACAAACATTACAACAACCAAGCTCCTTTGAGCCACCAAAATACCACAACTCGTTTAAGATTTTTATATGCAGTCAAGAAACGAGAGGCAGTGCACCTTATGTCCTTTGAGTCTATGTATTGTGCTCTACAAGTCTCTGAATTTCGTCTCCTTCTTACCCTTGGAATATTCTCTGAGCCCAAAAGAGGGAAAAAAGAATTAAAGAGTATGCAAGGAAATCATAAGAGCAATTTACCACTCCATGAATTGGAGATTCATACAAGCCTCAAAATATTACATTTTAGAATTCCAACATCAAGTCTCTTGTTGCAGGGAGATTTGATTTAAACACTAATAGTTTGGTTAAATCGGAAATCAATAGAACAGAGTTAGTTCGGTTTTGGTTAGTGATTGTTTGATTTGGTTAATAACCGAACTTATCATTTGAACACCCCTAAGCAGAGTAAAAATTTTGCACCTGAAAATTGCAGTGATAAATTGTACCGAAGTAATTAGTTTCACAGAACTTGAAAGGTTGGTTGCAAATAAAAGGGTTATGAGGTAAAGTTCAAAAAAATTGAACTCTTAAAATACTCGCTTAGTCAGATGCTATAGATAACTCCATTGTTAGGTGGTCCTCAGTTATCTTTTAAGTACTTTTGGAAGTGCACATCCACATAGATACCATCCAATTGAAAGGAAAGGCGAGAAGAGAGATAAACAACACCCCCCCCCCAAAAAAAAAAAAAGAATAACTCTATCATGTCGATCGATTCTCCATTATCAAACAAAATAAATAAAAATTTCCTTGGCGCTTAATTCCATTGGCTTAAGTCCCAGCTGATCATAAAGCTGAATTCTGAACTCCATCAAACCGCAAATGTACAACCCAAATTTTTGAACTACATAAAGATAATCCTCCTGTACTGAAATTTCTTTCTATAGAAACTTCAATTTCCAAACTTCACAACTAAAAAGAAAATAGTCATCACTCATACTCAAATCTCGGGTGTCAAGAAAATACAAGATTATTAGCATACACCTCAACGATATAGCAAAATGAAAACGATGACATCATTAAGGGATTAAAATCATTACCATTTAGATCAAACTGAGACTCCTCCTCTCTGCTTTCTCTAAACCTTGAATCTCTGCCATGGCTGCTTTCAAAGTATTCTGCAAAAGCAATTCACTTATACATAGCCAAAAAAGAATCGTTAAACAACTCAACGGGACATAAAAAGCACCCAAAAGCTCAAACTTCCTTCTAATATAAGTATCGGAAAATCCAATATTTAAAGGAAAATGATGAAAGTTACCTTCGGATCCAGAATAAGAACTAATGTCGTCTTCATCCTCAGTATCAGCGCTGTAATCGGAGTCTCTGGGAGCGATGTTGAGCAATTTGCGCAAGAAAACACGAGGCCAAAAGTACTGTATGCAGGAACAACCAAAACAGCAGTTCAGCCCAAATTCTCTGCAAGTTCTCTATTAGATGTCCCATTTTTTTTTTAAAAAAAAGTCTCAGATACAGAAAAAAAATACCTCTGGCCGGTGCTTTGAACTCTGCTTCATTGCTGTATATCCAAAAATAAGTAAAAGAAATGGAGAAAAGCGAAGACGAAGATGAAAGAAAAACAAGCGAAACCAAATGACGTATAGTAAAGGGCAATTTTATATTAAAAACCTCACATAAATAATTATTTAAATAAATAGGATCTTTCAAAAATTATTTGGAATAATATCTTCAAATAGTTCACATACGCGACATGTAAATAGTGTGTTAAATCTTCGTATTTTTCAACACGTGAGATATATTCGACCTGGGATAACTTTCTAGATAAGCTAATAAAAGAATTGAATAAAATAAACTCGCGCATTGCGAAGCGCGAGATAACTTAAGAACCAAAATATCACAAGATTTACTAAGGAAATTGCGGCCAGCAACGCGTGAGGACTTTTTAAATTAAAATTAATAATAAATAAATATAATAAATAAATAAAATAATAATTAATAATATTAATTATTAGATATAATAAATAATTAAAATATAATAATAAATAAATATAGTAATTAAACTAGATATTTTATAAATAATAATTATAATATATTTTGTAAATTTTGAAATAATGAAAAATTATATGAATAATTTATTAAATATAATAATAATTAATAATATTATAATTATAATATATTTTAAAATTTATAAGATAAAAGCTGATATTAAAGTAATCTTGTGTTTTGCAAACCGTGAGATACTAGAAAAGTAATAAATTATGTGTGTTTTCAACGTAAATCATGTCTTGCAGGACGCGAGATATGTAAAACCGTGTTTTCTCAGGTGCGAGAAGGCCTATAAATTTGACCCTCCATTTATAATCACCAACACACCATCAATTTCTTATCATTTAAATTGTCATATTATGGCGGCGAGTTTATTAAGACTTAATTGAAGTCACGTATTTGATTATCGAATGCGAAATGATGAGATAAATTAATTAATATTATTTTGTATTTTTAGTATTTATTTTTTTAGTTTTTTTGTTTTCGTATTTAAATAATTTTTTAATATTTATTTTGTAGGGATATGAATGTGTACTAGAGTTTCATATAAATCGTGTAATAACGCCTAATGCAGATATTATTGACTATTTACATTTAGTGTGTTTCATATATATCAGTAGTATAATTGATGACGGTGTGAAGTTGCATCCTCCACTTATAAATGAGTTGGTGGAAAGATGGAGACCGGAGACGCACAAGTTTCATTTACCGTATAGGGAGGCAACTATTACCCTACAAATGATGCATTTCATCTAGGACTACTATTGATAAAGTAGTTATTACTGGTGTTATAGGCACCCCTAAAAATGTATGTGAGGTATTGCTCGGAATTGTTCCACATGATAATGCACGCGATGGTGGAAAAATAAAAATTAAATTTTAGGATGATAATTTTACACACTTACCACATGATGCGGAGCATGTAGTGAAGGAGGTAAATAAAATATTTTTATGAGTATTTATTAATATTACAATTTATTTATTTATTATTTTGAAAATTAAGTAATTATATTATTTTTATTAATTTTTTACAGCGATTTGCTTGAGCGCATATATTATGAGTTATTGAGAGGATTTTAATGCTAGACAAATCCTAAAATAAGGTTCATCTAATGTGGTTGAATCATTTGCAAAATTTAAATGATTTAAGAAATATAAGTTGGGGTCGGCAATTTTGGCATTTTTGTTCTGGGAGTTTTGTAAAGTTGTAAATACGACAAAAAATGTCATTAGAGGGCCTGGATCTGAATGTCATTTTTATGGTCGATTGTTAAAACACATGTCCCATATGATTTCCGTTACTTAAGAGGTAAAAAAATAATTTTTATTTTTTATAATATTACTAAAAATAATAATATTATATTGTATTAATGACATGTGGACTGATGAAACCTCTCACGCCCACCTACCAACACAACAACAAGACTTCAGACTGTTGACCGATAAGTTTAGACATCAGGTAATAAAATAGTTTCCTTCGACTTTAATTTAATTTATTTGAGGGTTTTAGCTAACAAAATTATGTAATTTTAATTTTATAGTTCTTGTGGATGCCTTACTGCGATGCTGCTATTACTGACTGTATATTGCATGAGATTCGGGTGACTAATGCGTCTTTATACGTCGTGTCAGTCCCACTGATCTTGTATGAGATAGTCGAGTGGCATCCTATCGAATGATTCCTTCATCAATTTAACTGTGTCCAATCGATTTCGCCACATCCACCATGCTTGGATGAGTTGCATCGTTTGATGCGATATAGGAAGATGGATATCAATTGGGCGAACCATCATGTGGTGTATCTGAACGAGTGGGTCTGAAGATTCAAAAGGACACCCATGACTCAACCCATCTTCGAACACAATGCGACATATGATTATATATCGTGATTCCAAGAATATGGGATGCCACATATATTGACCGATAAGGAACGAGCGCGAGAATTATATGTTCATCTACAGAGTCACCCACAGATGGGGATGTAATATGGGGGAGGCAATATGGGGGAGGCATCCTCCTCATCACCAACAACACATGGACCATCTCAAACATCACCGACACTCTGACCCTGTCTTCACTCACTCAACTGAATAAACATTTCAACAAATGGGGCAATTTTCGAAAGGTTTCCTCACCGACTAGTTGAATTCACAACACTTTGGATTTGATATTGTTGAACAGATATCGCAGCAGAGCATATTCTACACTGGTTCTGATTCCAGTGCCAGTGGTGGATCGATTCCATATGCAGCCGCCGATCCTGATGATGTTGAAGTGCAAGAGGAACCACGCTTAGGTTAGCGTTGGACTCGTCATCCACTACGATGTGGAACTGGTGGACATAGGTATTATTAGCTCTTATTTATTTCGTTCTTCAAAACTGAAATATTTGTACTGAACTATTTTATTTTTAGTTAATTAAAATATTTTATGTTAATTGATCAATGCAGTTTATCAATAATTTTTACTTTAATCGAACCATTTTGAGTTATGCGAACTCTTTCCCATTAATCGAATCATTTTGGTTATATATAAGTGAGATTTGGGGTTACTTTTCTAATAAATTAATAAAAATAGGTTTCTGGATTATTATGCCATAATGGAACTCGCACCTGCAACCCACGATATCAGTAGTCGCGTCAATAGAACATCGTGGCTTACAACTTGTGAGGTTCCTCCCAATAAAAGAGATGCAAAAGAAGTTAATGGCAACAACTCAGAAAATGTCGAGCAGAGAAAGCCTTATTACTTTGGTATATTACGATGGTAAATGATCGGTGATGCATCTCTCGATGTATTGTTTTAGTCCATACATACTATGACAATAACGCTACCAAGGAAGTTAACGTATAACAAGTTGATGAAGAAAGTGAAGAAAAATGTCCCACATGCTCGTGGTACAAAATTATTACCCTTGAAGTATCGACTACCGATGTCGTTAGAACCATTAACGTATACGATATACACTGTTGAGGACAATGGTGATGTGCAGTTGATGGTCGACGTTTACTTGCAATATTCATTTGAAGGGCCGATGGAGTTGTATGCATTGTTTTCTGATGCTGATGATGATACCAGTGTGTCATGTTGAAGATGAGCAGAGTTCGACTTTGATCCAGTTATTCACAATCCGACGTAAAATTTGATAAACAACTTCAATTTATTAAGCACATACAATACACATAACGATTTAGGTGAATCATCATCTTCGATGCCAAGACATTCTTGCTTGTTTAGATTCGAGTTTGACTTGAACATAGCACCAATTCTTATTTCCACGTATAATCTATACAGTACTCTTGAGCATCTATTTTCTTCTTAACACGCCAATCGGGGTCAGACCATGAAACGTTTAACCCGTTCGATGATTTCTTATCTGGACGATATTCAATGTATATCCCTTCTGCGGATAACTTCTCAACACATATGGGGAGACATTCTTTTACTGGTGTGCGTGACTTTGATCTCGGGGAACTGGTTTGTGAGTGGTCTCATGTGTAGTCTTGTGATCGACGAACACCTATAATAGATGCTAACTTTGAATTAAATGAGGCTAAACTATTCCGCTTTGAGGGGGATCATTCTGACGAAAAATAGGTAAGGGAGCTCGGCCCCGATGGTGATGAGTTAGGCCCCTTCTATGAAGAACTAGAAGATATTAACATGGCACCAGAAACATAAGACCACGAAGAATACGGCGCGGCTACAATAATTCCACATACTGCCATGCCTATTTCTTATTACCAGCCACCATCGTATTTTACAACAATTGATATGGAAGTATTTAACGCTCCAAAAATTTTCCCAATTTCCATACATTGAGCAATACAATCAACGTAGTAGTGGTGATCTCTATGTTGGTATAGTTTTCAGGTTAATATAATGTTTTAATTTTTATTATTTTTTTGATTTATTTATCGGTAAGTTATCCACTTTATTTACTTTTCTTATGAATAAATTTTAGGACAAAAGAACAAGTTGTGGCTACAATCAAGAACTACATCATATGTCGCTCCGTCATGTCAATTGTGAAAAAAACTAACGCGGATAAGTACATCGCTGAATGTATCCACAAGAAGAAGGGATATAATTGGAGGGTTCGAGTATCACAATTGAAGACGATGAATAACCTTTGTAAACTCACAAAATACGTCCAACCACATACATGCACCACCAACATCCTATATCAAGATCATCGTAACTTCGATGTACACGTGATTTCTAGAGAATTCATTCTGCTGCTCAAAGCAAATCCACATGTTACAGTTGCAACCTGTATTACTTCAGTTACATTGTTATACGGGTACACAGTTGACTGACACAAAGCATAGTATGCAAGGTATCGGGCCCAACAAAACTTATTCGACCAATGTGAGGAATCATACAATGAATTATGGCTATCTTAAACTGATGTATAAATACATTCCGGAAACAGTTGTGAAATTGGAAATAGTCCCGACATATGAAAATGATCGTGTCGTACTAGGTGTCTTCCAATTCTACCGGCTCTTTTAAACTTTTCCGTAATGCATTAATGCATTTCGACACTGCAAGCCAATGGTTAATACACTCAAATAATGTTATTGGCGATTGCACAAGATGACAACAGAAAAACTACTCCAATCGCCTTCGCAATTGTCGAAAATGAATATATCAACTCTTGGGAATTTTTCCTTATGAACTTACAAACATATGTTCTATCACATACGATGTTGGATAGAGATGATGGGATTTGTCTTATTTCTTACATAAATATTGGTATCAAATACGTACTCCAGCGTATGGGCCCGTCTTGTCAATCCCCAATATTTATCACCGATATTGTTTATGACATATTGTATGACATATTGTCATAAACTATTTGAAGAAGTTCAAGAGTGAAGATGAGGGCCTAATGGTTCTTCGAATGGGTACTTCTTTCACCCTTTTTGGTTTACCATATATTTACAAAAATTATTGCAAAATTAATTGTTCCATTTTTTATTGATAGGTTACACACAGTTCATACATAAGTTTGAGGACCTGCTATAAGAACTGAGACACAAGAATTCTGATGGCTACAAGTACCTTGCTAGAATCCTAAAGGAGAAATGGATTCGATCATTTGATGGGGGTAGACGGTATGGTCACATGACAACAAACTTGGTTGAAGTAAAAAACTCATCACTAAAGGGAGTGCGCCATTTGCTTATCACATATGTTGTCAAAACGAAATATTATTTATTGGCAACCCTTTTCGCAACCTTTGGAAGGAAAACATTTAACTGGATGGTATATGGCCACCAAATCCACCTAGACCTCCTCAGAAAATTGCAAACATTTCAGCAACATTCCAACGCGATGAGTGTCGTATGCTTCTCTCACGAAATTTCATTATTTCGTGTATCAGAATTTGTGAGGCCATTGGATGGCATACAACACAACACATATGTGGTTAATTTACGAGAAAAAACATGTTGGTGTGAATTCTTCCAAACTTTCAAACACACGTGTGTGCACAATTGTTGTTGCTTCTTCTGCTCGGATACACTATATGAGATTCGTTGATCGAGTTTACTTAATTAAAACTATAATCAAGGTTTATGAATACGATTTGTAATCACCATTTTTGTGTTATATTATTATTATTATTATTATTATTATTACAAACCCAAAACCAAAACGGACCCAAATACCCTAAGCCTAATACAAACAAAAAACAAACCAGCCTAAACCTAAAAACCCTAACTACCCTAGCTGTCAGTGCCACCTCTCATCTGCCACCACCGTCGTTACTATCGCTAGTCATGTTATCAGTAACCAAACCGCCCATGTTCCAAGAACCAACCACAAAATCAAATCAAAACATAAAAATAAAAAAGTAAAATCAAATCTAACAAATCCAATCTACTACCAACCGAACCCTCCTGTAATCCTCACCCACTCTGTCAACAACCTTATCAAACCCATCAGACCAAGTCACCATTTTATATAAAAAGGGTATTATTTGAAAAAAGATGAGGGGTTACAATAAAAAATAGAAAAAATGAAAGGGAAGTTACTATTCGGTCGAACCTTCCACCATTGTTAAGGACCTCTATTGGCTAATCGGCATTGTGAGGAGGTTCATCATGCCCTGAAGAGTGACATACTCCAACTTTGGCCCGATCCAACGGTGGAAAGACAGATTGACGGCTTATTTCACGGTGTTGGAGGTTGTTTCGTGCGAAATAGAGTCTAGATCCGTGATCATAACGTCGAGGAAAGCTAGCCCATAATTTTTGGGCCTGAACGATCATTAGAGATGGCGGCAACGGTTGAAATAGCCAGTAGACGGCCACGATTTAGAGAGAATATGGAGCTTCTCTCTCTAAAAAAAGAATGTGAGAAAAATAAAAAAGAAGGGCTAAAAAAAGTATTTATACCCACTTTAAAATGGTGTAGTTTTGCTCTCTAGGAACTGAGCGTTTTGGGTTTTTGGGGTAAATACTCTTTCAGTCCTTTTTCGTTTGTAATTTATTATTTTGGACATGAAACATTTGGGTTATTATGTTTTTTAGTCCTTTGATGTTGCCATGCTTACATTTCCGTCACTGCTCCAATTAATATGGTAAGGGTTATTTACGTTCCTAGCCTCCAAGTTTTACGCGTGTAACATTTCAGTCCCCTTTTATAATTTTATAAACTATTTGAATGTTTAGACCTTGTAACTTTAATTTCTTTCAAATTAGCCATAAACTAAAATGTATAATCACCTAGTTGGCCATTGTATTTGTTATTTGTTCGTTTTTATACTATTATTATTATGTACGTATTTATCTCATATCTCTATGTAAATATATAATATATAATATTATATAAAATTATATTTTTGTTGATGATGTCTTTTTATCTACAAATGTATAATAGAGATGTGTCAATCTTGGGCGTTGTGGGGGTGCTTACCCTTCCCCACGCATAACAGACTCTCGAATCCTTAAAAATGAATCTCTGGTTAAACGCAGACCAATTTTCCTTTTTAAATGATTTTTCTAAAATTTATTTTTTAAGATGTTTTCTGGATATTCGACCTATCTAACCAAAGGTCGATAGTGACTCCAATCTTTTCTAACTTAGTTCGATTTTAAAAACTGACATTCCTCGAAAGTCATGCTGCAACTTTATTTTTCGATGTCCCGAACGAAAATGGTGACGACACAAGTTCCCTTCCATTGGAAATGAATGAGATCCGAATATGAACCTACAATACTGCCAGATTATGCACTATGACGAAAAAAATCCGGTCATCAATTGTCAACCCGAATTTTCTGTGATGAGGATTTGGTCGAACATCAAGAAAGAACTGGACAACCGAAATTATAATTTATATGTAGGAAACTCAGACACACAAAGAACAAACATTCCAATCGTTCAGGCCTACGTATCAATTAAATGGGCTTTTTTGTATTATTTTTTTAATTAACAACAAATATTAATTTGTTTTCAATTTCTTGTGATTTATTCATGCAATAAATTATGCATTACAACATTTTTCAACACGATTTTTACCCCATTATAATATCTCGTATGCGACCAAATTAGCTTCAACATAAATATAAGTTGCAATATTATACCTCTAAGCATATAAATTCTGAAATCACTCTTATTTACAAGCTAGAAATAACATTTTAATATGTCTATCAAATCATTTTTTTTGTTCTTCCTTCATAAAACTATGATTTCTAACCATTTTCAATGTCATTTTATCCCACTTAAAATGTCTCATATATTATGATATTACACTCACCTTAAAGATAAATTGCAACACTATACATTTATAATTAAAAAATTAAAAATATTTTTTTCGTTAGTACTCACGGTTTACAAGGCACGAGATTGCTATTTTCAAAAAATTAATATCAACTTGTATCTTATAAAATTCAAAATGTATTATAATTATAATATTATTAATTATTTAATATATTATACATATAATTTTTCATTATTTCAAATTTTACAAAATATATTATAATTATTATTTATAAAATATCTATTTTAATTACTATATCTATTTATTATTATATTTTAATTATTTATTATCTTTAATAATTAATATTATTAATTATTATTGTTATATTTATTTTTTATTAATTTCAATTTGAAAGATCCTCGCGCGTTGTAGGTTGCAGGTCGCGATGTCTCTTATAAATCTCGCGATATTTTAGTTCTCAGACTACTTCGTGCTTCGCAATGCGCGAGATCATTTTATCTAATTATTTTATTGGCTTACCTTGAAAGTCCTCTCACGTCGGACATATCACATGTTGAAAGATGCGACAATTTAATATATTGTATACAGGCCGCGAAGTCATTCTATATAGACGATTTGAATGTTATTCTTGCAAATAATTATTGGAAGACTCTCTTTCTTTAAATAGTTATTTATTTGAGGTTTTTAATATAAAATTGCCTAGAAAAAGAGAGAGATGGAAAAAGAATAAAGCAGTAGGGAAAAGGTCAGCACTGCAGCATTAACTACCTTTGAGTGGGAAAGTAAAACATAGTAGGGCTAGGCGGCCACGAAAATACGTATCCGTCAAATCGGTAAATTTTTTGAATTTTGGTTAATCTAGTTTGATGTATTTAATAAAAATAATTTACATCTTCAAATAAATCATTTTCATAAAAAATAATTAGTAAAAGTGTATATTTGGTTTAATAAAATGTGTTTAATTTCTGATATAATAATAGGAAATTAAATATTTTAAATTTCATAATTTGAAGGGTAAAAAACAAATTTATGTAATATCAATTGCTAAAAATTCAATTCGATTGATTTTTACCAGTTTAAAAATTATATATGTACATTTTTAAACGTCTACTAATATTCTCTTACGAATTTTCGAATTATGTTTTGTTAATGTTTTAGCTATGAAGATCTAACTAAAATATATAGTAGGTTAATGTAATCAGTTCGATTTTTAAAAAATGATCAATTTCTTCTGAAAATTTGGCAACAGCTAGAAGTTACGAGGATACTGCTACATCAATATCCTCTTATTCCTCTTCTCTATTTGTTTATACGAACTTTTTCAAATTACTATGTGATTAGATGTCTAAGGTTAGATTTCATTCGCAGAAGGATAATCAGAAGCTGAGAGTGGTGTGCGAATCAAATGCGCAGAAAACGGAAATCAACAGTGAAAAATCAAAGAGATTTGTACCTTTTTTCTTTGACGGCTGAATCAAACTCTGCTTCCGTAGTGGAACGGAGAGAGCCCAAAAACAACTGAAATTTCCAAGAATGAGAAACGGGAGAGTGGAGGCTGATCTGCTCAGCGGCGGCGCGTTAAAAAGGTGCAAATTCGAAGTTTCCTTTAAAAGTTTCTGGGAAACTCTAAAAGGAAGAAATGGGATTTGTTTCCTTTTGCAGCTGCAGACAACAACAGAGCATGTACTTTCCCTCGGTGTTTCGGCTTATACTGAAAGAAGGAAAATAGTTTGTTTCTTTTCTTTCTTGGCCAGATTTACATTTACGTACGTTGCGAAATATTAGGTGAATACTTAATTATGACGTCGTTTGTCAGAGTTTTAAATATACAAAATATATTTGAGGATTAAATAAATAACTGATTTTTTGTGAGGTCAATTTTAATTAATTTATGTGGTGTTAATTTTTAAAATAAATAAATATATGTTTAGATATTTTTCCAGTCTATTAGCAACGTTCATATATCTTATAGATATATTTATTTGAATTCAATTTTTTTTTGAGAAAAATAACATTCCTTTTTATCATTGGGACCGATCGTTAAATTTACGATAAAAACATTATTACTGTTATCTTTTTATTTTATGTCATTTTTCTCTCTTCTTATAGTAGTAGATGAGTCAATTTTAAAATTTATTTGGCTAGTATGTAGGGATATTCAAAGGTCGGGTCGAATCAATTTTTTGGTCATCTTATCACCCAAATAAAGTATAACACTCGACCAGAGTCTAAGGAAATTCTATTCAACTCAAAACTTTATCTGATTTTTAAGATAAAATTAGGTATCTCTTCCTAGTTCCGACTGATACACACCTAATTAAGAAATATAAAGAGAGTGGATATTACAAAAATTATTCTTATATATATATATATTGATCGCTTGTAAATGTATATGCTAAGGCAGGCAAATCTGTGCAAATGTACACAGTCGAATCAAGTAATAAAGGGTAAGTGAGTTATCGTCTCCTTGGGGATTGGTAGGGGTTTTGATGTTTCGCCACAACTAGAACTAGGTGTCACAAACTAGTCCCTGAATTCTTGTCAAAACAAAAAAACAATTAGTAATGGATTGTATGAATAGGTGTCAAAGCGTTGCTAAAGCAAGAGAATATTGTGAAGTGTGGTTATAGAAAAATTGGTCGAGGCAAAGAAAATATGCAAAAGTAAAAAATAAAAATAGACAAGGCAGGGGAAAACGTTGATTCAAATATATTCAAAATAACCTCACATATTCAGACTTTTCACAGAGCACTTAGGTTGGCCTTTCTATGACAATAAATTATTCTAAGTCAGAGAAGTATCGTTATGATATGCTTAGACTACCCGACAGGATTACTAGAGTATTCTAAGAAGGTTGCTATGACAATACTACTCAGCGTGAACTACAACTATTGGTTTGTCAGACTGTTGTTGTTACAATACCCTCAGCGTGAACTATAGTCGTTGTCTATCCTACTCAAGCGTTTATTCCTTTTAGTCAATTGAAACCCTCTCTTATCTCTAAGGCAGTCAGGTTATAACATCACTATCCCAGATCTATTTCATTGCTCACGTAGATATATCTTAATTCTCTCGAATCTAAGAATCAATTTCTAGAAAAACGACAATCTCTCGAAAGCCCTTACAAGGTCTAGAAGTGTTTCGCCTAGGCACCAGACAATCTCTCGAAAGCTCTTACAGTATCAAGGCAAAATATTAAAAAATGAACAAAACAAACTTAAGTAAAATCATAATGCATCATTCATAATCCATTAAATAATCGCCTTGGCAAAACAAAAAACCAACACCCAGAAAAGCAAATCATGGTGTTACCAAAGTATCATCCAAGAGTATCATCATTTAAAAATATGCCCTAAAATAGATTAAAGAAATTAAGAACAAAGAAAAAATGACTCTCAAACAGGGGGCTCTGACGTGACAACTCTGACCAGCACCAAGGACAGTCGGGTTGGAGAACGATGGAAGGTAAGGTACTGTAGTTGCTTACTCCACGCTTAAGGTAAATCTTCTTCTTCCTTGCCTCCTCATTTTGGCAGTTATGAATGAGTATTTATAATGGGAATTTTCCTAGGGTTTTGTGTAATTGAATATTCCTTAAATACCCGTGTTGACTTGTCCATGCTATAGATAGAAAGGCGGTTGGATATGGTCAAATTCTTGGAGAGCTTGATTGCACGTGAGGTCAGTCATACAGCTGGCAAGTGACATCAGCAGTTTGTCAGATCCATTTCAGACTTGCAAGATAAATATTGCCTTGGTAGGAAAAATATTTTTTCATTTTCTTCGTCTTTTGTGTTCCACTGGCCCTGTAACACCCTCAACACGTATCCGACCCGAATTCGAGTCCTAGGTATCACGTTGAATTTTCAAAACATTTTCCTTTACAGGTGGATAAAAATTCAACTCACTATTCGATAAAATTAATATTTTCATTAATTGACATAACTGGGTTTTACAAAACATATAAGAGCTTATACTATTCAAGCCTTTATACTACATGCCAAGTACATTTTAATAAACAGAATACATATATTTAATATGTTTCTGATCCGATATTCGTTAGGAAGATACTGACCTGTCTTGCCCCTCTTAGCTTCTCTTCTCGCTTCTGTAACCTACGTGTGAAACAATCACAAGCTAAGTCTATGACTTAGTGAGACTTATAAAACATATAATATAAACTAAACTTCTAACAATGCATATGAATAATTAATGCTATTATAACATACATCTTCATGTACACTTCATAAAATGAATACATACATACACAAACCTTATAATATCACATATGAGTTTTACTATTTCATATTCTTATAATCATTTACTTTATACTACTTAGCTTATATCACATTATACTATCTTCATTTAAATCGTTTACTTACCTTATTCTTAATCCTGTAATTTTGATCGCAATCCTACATATTTTATATCATTTCTATATGTTTCTATTTAACATTTCACCCATAAATTCTCGTTACATATTCTAATATCCTAATTTCATATATTCTCTTAATTCATTCCTCACTAAATCTTCAATTAATAAACATACATTTACATAACTTATTGTCATTTGATTCCTCTGATATTTTCATATGATTTCTTAGATTCTTATACTAAATTTCATATCACTTACTAATTTAGCAAGGTTAATTAACAGTTCTATTTTAAACGTATATACCTTCCCACACAACTTATCTAAAATTATTTTATACTTATTTATATATATTTTTCCTCAATTAATATACTATATGATTTGTCTCAATTCTCATTAATCATATAGTTCACCACTTCATTATCTATGTATATATATGTATATAGCGTTCACTAGATTTCTCATGAAATTACTTCTAACATATCATATAATTATATTATATTCACTTACATTCCCATATATCATATCAACATATTTGACATAGAACATATCATATATGCAATAAATGAAACTCATGCATTCGCATCCAAATGTTCAATCACCTATGACAATCATGTTAAGTTTATGTATATTATTTCTTTATTGGCCCATGTACATCTTGGAGAACTAAAGATATGTGAGTTCATTGAGGTTGTGCACTGATGTTGTCACCACAGCTCCGAATAAATTCCCACTAGGGGCACTGTATATTTGTCCCGAAGGACCATTATGTCCCGAAGAACCACTGATTTGTCCCGAATGACCACTATGTCCCGAAAGACCACTCCTTAAGAATCATACACATAATACAATGGACTAAATAAGTGTACCAAAGTACCACATATATGTTCCACAGAATTACATATATATCACGAAGGACCATGTAGAACCCTCGACTCTTGGCATGCCAACTATACCTCTAGCTCTCATATCACGTAACATGGGCATCATTATTATGTTTACCCTATATTCACATAAACATAGGTTCTTATCATTTCACTCATATCATATGGTTTATCTCTTGAAATCTTGCAATCATATCACTTATACTCTTATAAATCATATCTACATGGTTTATCTTATATACATATGTTCACATACTTTAGCTTACTTCACCTTCCATATATTCATACAATTCATTATCACATGATTGATATCTTAATCACATAACAATAACATACATTCACACAGATCATACCACAAATACAATAATATATCACAATTATGCCCATCTCAATAACATGCTTATATATATGCTATTATAGGAAATAGACTTGTCACAAGTCTTATTTCCATTCATCATAATATACCAACTAATACGCACTCACCTTAGCCTTGCTTACTTTTACTCGATCCTAATCTTTCGATTGTTCCTAAACAAGATTACGTTCTAAATCTACATAATAATACATTGATACATATCAGCATACGAATTGATATATTCTAAACTATTTCTCCTTAGGCTAAAAAGAAAGTTATTTTCATCTTTTAATGAAGGTATGCATCGATGCACTACACCATGCATCGATGCACTACACCATGTATCGATGCATCCCTTGACGGGTGCATCAATGCACTATCTATGCATCAGTACATAAATCTCATTCGATGTTTGTATTTTAAGGGGGTGCATCGATGCACTCCTTATGCATCGATGCACTAATTGCATTTGATGTTCATTTATTTGAGAGTGCATCGATACACATTGAAGATGCATCGATGCACACAACCCATAAATTCCATTTTATGCATGAAATTCACTCTCTTTTCATCTCAACTCTTCATCTTTCACCTCCTTTAATACACACACATAAACTCATTTCTACTCAATAATCACTTCTTTAAACTCAACATCCTATCATTTATATGGCATTCAAGAATTACACTCAATTTCCAACATGTTCTAAATCTAATTCTAACACTTCATATTCCTTAATTTAACCATCGACAAGTCAAATTCATCTTCAAACTCTATTAACTCCTTCTATTTCAAATATTTACTTAAAAACTCATTTTTTCTTAATTTCTCATAACTTGTTAATCTTTGAGTTTTAAGTCACCTAAAGCTTTCCTTAATCTTTCTTAACAT